CAGCATCTTCTTCACAATTTCTGTCTAGCTGCTGCAACCAAGAGTGGTGATGTTGTTGGCGAGCCCCGTGATCCGCATTAAAAAATCATTGACGCATTCACCGTCCTTCAAGCGAAGCTCTAAGAGCTCCTTTCGTAGCTACTCAATGTTTTCCCGCACTTGTTGTACAACACCGACTCAACGGGATTTAAAGGCACACTCGTCGTTGTAGCTCAATGACAACTCGACACCCATCATCACGGCGTCGACGCAAAGGAGTGAGTGAGCCTACCCACATAAATGAAATTATGTTCTGGAACAAGTCATCCTCCGTGACTGTACAGCTCTTAGACCCTCTTCCACCTCAACCGACCGCCTGTGAGACCTCAACATAAAAAAGGAAAAGGGGTGAATATAGAAATATATTATGAAACTAACTTATTGGTAGGCTCTTATCTTAGCCTTGATCTAGAAAAAGACCACAAACTTAACACTGGGCTCCCGGGGTATTATTCTTGTTGTGTATAGTCTTAGATAGCTAGCTTAACCTATGCAGTGGTAACCGATATCTGAAGTTAACGTGCAACCTTAACGATTTCTCTCTATCAAGTTGGCACAGTGAGTGCTAGCATACTCATCATCCAAAGGTGGTAGTTGGTAAACCCATCCAACAACTACAAACTCCTACTTAAAAATAATTAATTTTCTCCTATCCTAGGTAGGATCTTAGAGTTTTTTTTTTTTTTTTTGAAGGGTTAGAGCGTAATTTTCAAACGGGTGCAAAAGAAAAAAAATACTTGGGACACCTCAAAGAACATAGAAAAGAATAATTAAATAGAAAATTTGGGTCAAACTCAACCGGGAAAAGGTAATTTTTCCCCTACAAACTACTTTGAGTGAGCGTGGATAGACATGCAAGGAAAAGAGAAAAAAAAATGAGAAAAAGAGAAAGAACTAGGGTTTTAAGAAGAAGAATTAGGAGAGGAAAATGTTAAATCTCGAACATGGAGTACCAATTGGCCAAAGATTTCTCTCTGGAACTACTAAGAGAAACAAGGAGGAGAGGTCTGGGTTTTTTCCGAGAGGATTTCACGAGCCTTTTAGGCAACTTTATTTTTTTATTTTTTTTTAAGGTTACAAATACAGTTTAAATTCCAGGTTGAGTTTTTTTTTGTAGACTACAATGTTTTGGTGCAAGTTTAGTAGCAATCTTGCACATCTTTGTTCGAGATGTTTTCGCCGGATAATGAAGTTTGGCTTCAAGAACAATACAACTGTTGGCTCTGCATTTGGGATGTTGATGAGAAGGGTTTTTCTTTTTATAATAGTAAAACAAAGTTATTCGATCTCATTCATTCATGGAGTTCTTAGACCAAACCATAACCTTTCCTCCACTCCACATGATATTTTTTCGTTTCTTTAGAAGTTGTGTACTTACTACAATACTTATCTAATAAAAGCAAGTCTGTTAAACGTTTGAGTTCTCAATTATACTGAGACTTTTAACTAAATAGTGCATGTATGGTAATGAAATATCCAAGTTGTTATCGAAAAATAAAATACTCGAGTTCAAAATGAATATACATGTCTCCATTTTATTAAAAAAATTGAAGCACTAAAATGAAGAAACATGAGAAGGAGACATCCCAATAGAGTTAGGAAAAGTATATGATTGGCCTTTGGGAGAGAGAAAAAAGGGTAACCTAAGTTTGGGGATGTGGGTAATTCCTTGCTAAATAAAGCTTAACCTATCAAACAAATCCTCTTAAATATCCTTTCATTTTTTTTTTTTAGTTTTTCTTTTAATAGCTTTTTACATAAAATTCTATCTTTAAAAGTTGTTAATATATATGTATATGGGGTTCAAAACAATCCAAATGAAACACAGACAAATTGTAAGTTGATAAAAAATGAAGACTATGAATAATTTCAATATGATTTTGTTGTTTACTTTTGCATCAACTTCTAATGTTTTCACTTGTTTTGCAATGCAATATCCACATTCTCAATGGAAAGTGACGATTCTTAATTATCAAGACGTACCTTTGTTTTATGTATATCTAAATATTCAACGAGACCATATTGTTTTATGTATATCTAAATTTATAGATTTGAGAGTTTTTTTAAAATTTTTATTTAACCACATTCTCAATTTCAAATTTGAAAAGTATAATATCCCACATAAAAAAAAAGAATCTAGATGGATGTTTATTTTTTATCTCAATTTCAAGGATTTAATTACAAATTCTTTGAGGTTGGGGTTATTTATTTTTTATTTTTTTGTTAATAAATATGTGGCATGGAGAGGTTGAATGATACTTAACCTCTTCATGGATTCTTATATGGTCTCAACTAGTTGAATTATGCACAACATATGGCTATGTAATTATATAGGCTCTTATAGTTCTATTTTTTTTTTTCATTTTTTCAATTGAATTTGTGCCCATCTGACATAACTTTCAGATATAGGGAAGCATATTCATCAGTTCAAACAAAAATACATTTAGGAATTGAAAGAGAACTTTTTGCAGACAACATTGTTTTGGTGCAACTATAACAGCAATTATGGGAAGTTTTCGTTCGAGTTTTTTTGGCCAGAGAAGGGAATTTGGCTTGAAGAACGATGCAACTATTCCCACTGCATTTGGCGAGCAAATGAGAAGGGTTTTTCTTTATATAATAGCAAAACAAAGGTATTCGAGCTCATTCATCCATGGAGTCCTTAGACAAATCCATCGCCTTTGCCTTACTTCACATCAAATCTTTTCTTTTCTACTTAAGTTGTGTGCTTGCCTAGTACTATTGTTACAAAATGTCGGTTAATCATTTAAGTTCTAAAATATATGGAAACATTTAATATATAAATGAGTACATCTCAATAAAATATAAAAGTTGTTATTGAAGAATAAAATATTACGTCAGCCTTAATATCAAAGTCTAGATTTTTTAGAAAACTTTCAAGCACAAAAATGAAATAAATTTGGAAGTTATACACCATTCTCGAGAATGAAACAAAAATAGAATCTTTAAAGGCCAAAAAAAAAAACACGATCGCCGGAAAACACGTGTTCACACCTTATGGCGCCACAAGTAGCTCTTGCAGTCAGAAACTTCTTCGGCTTATGGAGTTCAGATGGCTAGGCTCGGCTTTGCGGCTCAAAAACTAGCTTTTCGGCTTGCTAAAGGGTATTTTGCCCAATTTTTACTGTTCTAACTTTCCTAAAGCTGAAATTGACCTTGTTTATGGAAATTAAATTCAGTATAAGGTTCACTTTCTCGATTTATGTTAAACAAAGGTAAGAAATTGTAGTTTCTAACGAAACAAGATGGACATTCTAATAGGAAACGACAACTAATAATGCCAACAGAAATTTCGAGGGATGAAAAGCAAACGTACTCGAATTTGTGGAGAACGTCGGCGTTAAGGCCAACCAAGTAAGTGGTCTTACTATCGGATAGGTTTAATGACTTGTTTAATGTATGACGACCACACGTGCCTAGTGGCCCCTACATGTGTCATTTATTCTTTATATTTATGATGTGTGACTATATTGTATGATGATGATGTACGATGTATGATGATGTTCTTCTGTGATTGGGTGATTCTATACAATGTTGTATGATATTTATGATATGACATATGTTTGACATCATTAAATATATGATATGATATGATTGACGAGCAACGTGATGAATTGAAATAATGAACAAACCCGATATATACACATGAAAAGTTATGATAGAATGATATGATATAAAGGAAAATGCTAGAGAGGTTCTTATAGAGCATATTGAAAGGAAAAATGTTAAGGGACCTCATGTTGTTGGGTTTTATGTCCTGAAACTAATAGTTTGTAAATAAAAACATATTCTATTTTCAATAAAGTTATTATTGATGTTTATTCAGTAAAGATTGTTATTGAATAAAGTGAATTTTACGATCATTAATCCAAATCCTATAAACTAAGAATACTCTGGCTATTGTATGATTACTTGAACTATAGGTAAAGACATAAGAGTGGATCAAGTTAAAGTATATAGTAAAAATGATCTATAGTACAGGGATAAGACTGAGTACCTGACCTAGTAGTCCTAGCCGTAAACGATGGATACTAGACGCTGTGCATATCGACCCGTGCAATGCTGTAGCTAACGCATTAAGTATCCCGCCTGGGGAGTATGTTCCCAAGAATAAAACTCAAAGGAATTGACGGGGGCCCACACAAGCAGTGGAGCATGTGGTTTAATTCGATGCAAAGAGAAGAACCTTACCAAGGCTTGACATGCCGCGAATCCTCTTAAAAGAGAGGGGTGCCTTCGATCCTAGGGATACTATGGATGCGACTCACTTTTGTATATGATATAAACAATGTGATCACTAAATTGTACATATGGAGTGATCGCTTATGGATGTATATAATAAAATGATGTAAAATTCACAAGAAAAAGTGCAAGTATACACCATCACAAGTAGCAAGTAATAAGTAAATTATCGATTCCACAGGGAACCTCTCTTTTGGTTAATTTTATTTGTTGGAAATTAAATGAGTTTTTGGGTAACATTCAAATGGGTGTGGGTGATTTTAACTACATAAACAAAACTAAAACAGAGTGTCACTGCCATCGAAAAATAGAAAATGATGAGAAAATCAACTATAATGAGGAAGGTTCCGCTAAGAGAGATTAAATAGTTAAGTTGTTGAGTTTTGTGGTAGATTTTAGTTCCTTTTAATAGATTCCCAAGCCCAATTCCGAGGGTCATGAATGGTGATTATTTCCATAATAGTTCTAATTTCTATTAACAAGACTCTTAAAAGAAGAATTATTCCTAACCCTTCTATTACCCTTCAAGTCTCCTTGCTATGGAACTAGAGCATTAAAGATGATTTCATTGCTCCCTCTCTTCTCCTTAATAAGAAAACAACTATGTATGTTGTAAAGTAGCTAATTAAACACACATGTAAATCATTAACAACAACTCTTTAATAAACTAAAATCATACCGTCAACATACTTAAACTATATAAAACTCTCTCGCCTCCCCTATAAAGTTTAACTCTCCATACAAACTGAATTAAACAAAGGAATTTGCATCTTCATCATGTAAAGTTGATGGAATAAGAAAAAGAATAAGGAAATAGAGAGTTATCCCGGTTTTTGTCGGTCGTCAATGGAAGTTCCCTCCTCTTGAGCTCTCACGTCCACCTCTTTGCCCTAATCAATCCTTATTGGTCTCCTTTTCCTTCTGCTGTCAACAATTGCTGGATTAGGGTTTTCTTCTTCTTCTCTGGTTTCATAGCAGTTCACTGCAGCAGAGGCTGCTGCTGTGTAATTCGATTTTTGTCCCCAAAGTGTGGCTACCCTCCTCTTGGTGTTTTTTTCCTTTTATATTGAGCATGAGTTCCCCTTAGGGCGTAAGTTGTCCACATAGGATGTTCCTCATTGGGTAATAAATGACCCACTTGGACTGTTGATGTAGATTTAAAATTTTCATGTTATCCCCATTTATTTCTAGATTTGCTACTCCCTCATGGTTCAGCATAAATATCTGAAATTTTACCACATAACTCAATTAAATGTACAATCAAGATCGATTTATGCCAAATCATATTTTTTTTCATGTTGGACCACAATAAATGATTTCATGCTCACTAAATATAATAAATGGGGTAATAAATGAATGGTGAATACGAGTGCAATATTAACTACAAAAAGACTTGATATGACTCTACTTTTACAGAGTTATCATGGAGACATGTGAGTGGGGGCGTCCTATGCAATGAGTATTGCATAAGATCGGACCATGAAGAAAACCACTCTCACTTTATAATACTGTTTACTGTTGAGACTGATTTTTTTTTCACTCGATGATCTGGGTAACTTGACCTTAATTCTGAGCTAACTATGAACTCTTATTTATTCAAAATTATCCATAGATTTGTATGGGTGAGAGTGGCCCGAGTTGAACTCAATAAGCCTCCCATTTCAAGGGTAAGACTGAGTGAATAGTTGGGGACATAGGGTGCAAGATAGAATTCACTTCTACCCGCTTTTAGGGATAGTAGAGAGGTTGAGTACTGACTCCAGGTCTTGAACAAGGGGCCCTACCCTCTCATTGGCCCGAGAGGGATTCAATTTGGTGGTTGGACCACAAATCAATTGTTCATTAGAGGATCAGTGGGACTTAAGGAACAAGAATTAACTTTATGGGTAAAACGATAAATTGACCCAGCTCTAGTTACGAACAACCTGTGAAGGATCGACTTACTAATCATGGTTATATCAAATGTATAGAAATAAATCTATAGTGAGGGGAGTGCAACTACTAGGCTATAGTAGAGTGTTCTAGTAGTTAACAAATGTTGGTTAACAAGATTAATGAGTTCAACCGGTTAATCTTGGATCGTTGGAGCCCATGATCTATAGGTCCATTAGGTCCCTCTGCTAGCTCATATCAGACTAAACCATAGAACAGCAAGACGAGTGAGTTCGAAGTGTTCAAATTCAAATTAGGAAATATGCGCTACATATATACAATATATTTAACCACATTTTTGTTTTATTTACGAATTAAACAAAAATAGAGAATCGAAGATATTTAAATAAGATTTAAATATTTTAATCAAATATGTGTCGAAATTGATTGGAATTGGCATTTGAATTAATATTAAATATTAATTAAAAAGTTTAATTAATGATTTAATATTACTTTAATTTGAAATTTATTATTCAAATAAATTGTTTAATTAAAATGATGAAAGTCAAAAGATTGACTTCAGTTAATGGAAAAATCCATGTTAGTGGAATTTTGAGGAGTCAAAATTTGGTTTAACCAAACTTGCATGCTTGCCAAATAAACCCCCACAAATTTGAGTAGAATTTTTAGTGTCAAAATTTGGTTAACTCAAGCATGCATGCTTGCCACATAATCCCAAACATTTGAGTAAAATATGACTCTATAAATAGAGTGATCAAGGTACATCGAACTCCTCCGAAAAACCTTGAGAAAAACTCTCACAAACTCTCTCTTCATATATGTTAAATCCTTCCTAAGTTTAGTCACTCACTGGATTCCACAATCCCGTTCTAAGGCCGGAGAATAGTGGAGAAAACACTAATGGTGGTTTAAAACCGGTTCGTGAGTAAAAAAGAATTTGAACAACAAAAGATTAGTACTCAAACATCTTGAGTTTTAATAATTATGAACATGCTAGTTATTTACTATAATTGATGCTCTAAGAGTGCCTAACCTTTTGTATTAACACCATCACATGGTATCATTGTGTGTTCATGCATCGGGGGATACCCCTTCATCTTTTACGATG